ACCTTCTAATATTTACAGCCTTGCCCTTACCTTCTGCTCCAATGCAGACCATATTAAAGACCATTTCCCAAATCTGTTTCCCCTAAACATGAACCTTATCTCATATTTCTGGTTTGTGCTTACAATTTCCCATTTCATATCCCCACCTGATGACCTTCCATAGGAACATCAAAACCAATGGTCCAAAATAAAACTAAATGACATCTGCCCAACTTCCCTCTTCATCCTCCAACCACAAACTGGGGATCATCTCTCCTTCCTACCTCTCTCTCGCAAACTCCCTACATCCAACGGAAAACTAAATGACATCTTCCCAACTTCCCCACCTCATCCTCCAACCACAAACCTGGGATCATCTCTCCTCCCTACCTCTCTCTCGCAAACTCCCTACATCCAACCAAGTCTCAATTTCTAACATTTGTTTTTAGCGTAGGGTTCTCTTTCCAATATACTCCTGACCCTCTGGCTCAACTCTCATACATACCTTCCCTGTCTCTTGACCAGACAGTTACCATCTATCCTAACTGTTCTATTCACTTTGGAACTTAGCTTTTTCAAATGCATCGTTCACCCAGATCCTGGAGTGATTCAAACACAAAGCTTACCAGTCAATTTTTTGTAAAATCCTTCAATGGCTTCCTACCACCACATGGCTTTTCTTGAAGATGGAATGTACTGGAATCTTTCTGGCAGGCAGTTTGTAGGTGATTTAAATCTACACATACCTTCCTTAGGGTTCTTTTTCCAATATACCCCTGACCCTCTGGCTCAATTGTCTCATACATACCTTCCCTGTCTCTTGATTAGACAGTTACCATCTCTCCTAACTGTTCTATTCACTTTGGAACTTAGCCTTTTCAAATGCATAGTTCACCCAGATCCTGGAGTGATTAAAACACACAGCTCACCAGTCAATTCTTTGTAAAATCCTTCAATAGCTTCCTACCACCACAGGGTTTTTCTTGAAGATGGAATGTACTGCAATCTTTCTGGAAGGCAGTTTGTAGGTGATTTAAATCTACACATACCTTCCTAAGCTACTTCCATTGCTACTTGAGGCACAAGTATGGCCTTTCCTCCCAGTGTTCTGGGGTTAAAACGTGTTCATAGGCACACAAGTTCAACCCCCAATTCCTGGGCACTGTAAGAAAAACCCTCCATGATCCAGAGGTCCACTACCCTGTACTCTTCTGCTTTTTTCCTGTCTCTCCCTTCCATGTGCTCCAGGGCTCCTGAGCTACACACTGGGCTGTCTGACACCTCTGCACCTTGATAAATGTTATTCCCTGTGTTTGAAATCCTTGTAGCAAAATCCTATTCAACCTTTAACATCTGG